GAAGAATTCTCTCATCAAGACTCTGTATCATAGAGCCCAATGCATATCCGACCAGGAACACATAGGCAGTGAACTCAAGCACGTACACCAAGCTCTTAAGGCTAATGGTTACTCCGACTATACAATCCGCAAAGCTATCACTCAAACCATGAAGAAGGACCCTCTTGCGGAGCCTTTCAAAACCATCACTTTACCCTACATTGCGGGGATCACAAAAAAGATCTCCAAAATCTTGAATAAACACAAGATCCAGGTCCGTTTCAACACATTACATAAAATCCGTGATCTGGTTCCGTCTGTAAAAGATGTGATTCCGGACATACAATACCCTGGTGTCTACAAACTAAGTTGCCTCTGTGGTAGTAGTTACATTGGAGAAACCAAACGCCATGTCTCGGACCGCATTCGTGAACACAAAGCAGACCTTAAACACGGTAGGACCAACACCTCGGCCATGGCAGATCATTGTTATAATTCAGTAGGCTCACATGACATTGACTTTTCCAAGACAGAGGTTATTTTTAAGCCATCTGGCTACCATGAGAGATTCGTTCATGAGGCTCCACATATACAAGCACAGAGACAATTTCAACCGAGAAAATTGATTCTGGCTTAGCAATCATTGGAAAGATTTGATAAACCATTTCAGGTCTTAATTGATTGTTCACGCTTACAGTGGCTTTCAGACAGCATACATTAAATGTTTCGTCTCCCCCCTCCTCTTTTCAGAACATAGACGGACTAGTCCTTCTAAATAAACTGCCAAATCGCTGCGCGTGGCGCTAACGTTTTTTTATAAATAAATACACCGTTTAAAAATAAATAAATTTACGCAAACCGACACACCTGATGACGACCGTTTTTGTTATGGTCGAAACGTCGTGATAATTTTTATTGTTTTATATATATTTTATTTTATTGTTTCCCTTCAACGTGACTTTACCGAAAGAACTAAGATTATTTCCCTATCAATGTCAAGCTTAAGCCATATCAAACTTTAATCATTCTGGCTGTAAACTCCAGCAGCGCCCTTCATAACGCTGGGAGAACCACTGCCCATTCTGCACGAACCTCATTGAACCTGACCCTGCAAGCCCAGGAATTAACCCCTTTCTGTGTGCCAACCTACGCCATGTTTCCACGTCCCCTGGCCCATCGTGGTCTTTAAACTAAACTTTTAAGACTATTTTTATACCAGGTTAGACACACTTAGCTATTAAGCTCTTTTCTCAAAAGCGACCTAGCCACAAGAGATCACCCAACGAAGTGCCATTTTAGGTGGGAATTTATATCAGCCAAAGACCGGAGAACCCAGAAAAAAATCCACACAACCACAGGGAGAGAGACACACACTCCCTAATCCCTCTCTCCCTAATCTCCCCTATTAACACAACTTACGTGCTTGGGTCCGTGGATGGAATTCCTTTCCAGCTCAGACCCCGCTTGCTTGCTCATCGCCACATCTATAACCTTGTTGTAACTGCTCTCTCGCTGGTTCAGTAGCTCCACTGCTGGATTATATATTTTCCACCTGACGACCGCTTGTGTTGCGATCGAAACGTCGTAATTTATTTTATTCTTTACCCACCTGACTTTACCGAATGAACCAAAGAGAATGGATTCCTGCAGTCACGAAAGCTTCAAATCAAGATACAAGTATACCGGCGCCAGGGTCAGCATCGAACCAATGACTGCCTCTATACCAGGCAAGATAGTTAACATCGCACAGTACGTAGCCAACCATGCCCTTTGGGTAGGGCTGAACGATTTTGGGAAAATATCTAATTGCGATTTTTCTGACTGAAATTGTGATTTCATTTGCGATAACCTTTTTTAGAGTCAAGCTTCAGTTCAATATTCATTGTAATAGATTTAAAACATGTGATGAAGCATTACCACATGATACCATCAAAATATGAACTGCTCTATATATTCTAATGCAAGGATGAGAATTTAAATGATATGAATTGCTTCCAACATGTATTTATTAATGTTTTAATTGAAATAGAACAATCAAACATGGAACAATTAAGATAAATAAAGTTATTATGATTAAAAAAAAACAAATCCAATAATAAAGTAATAGGTCTTTTCAAATTGCAAAAAATCGCAGCCTTTGCGGTTAGCTTATTGCATTGTTTCAAATTGCGATTGAGATTTGAAATCAATTAATCGCTCAGCCCAATCTTTGGGTCCTGTCTCATTTACTGAACCAAGAACGCTCGCTGCGTCCTTTGCTTCATGCCCAAATTCCCTCTGCTGCTTTGCATCAGCTGTATATATTGTATGTTGAACTTCTTTCGCACCGTACGTAGCCAACAGCGCTGCCCCAAGTGCTCTGCTTCCCAGTCCATGTTCGGTTCTCGCTGCTCCTCGTCTGGTTTCCAAGCCGATCCCACTCCACTTCTCTGACCCCCGTCCATCCTCATTTCATGAACTCGTCCTCTTACCTCGTCTCACCTCTCTGGCTATCCCCTCATCCCTCTCTTTCCCTCACACCTCCCCTAGTTTTCGCCATCATTCTCTTGCTACTCCCCTCATTCCTCCCCTCACCCCCGCAATCTCTCACCTCACCCCCCCCAATCTCTCACCTCACCCTCGCCATCTCTCACCTCACCCCCCCAATCTCTCACCTCACCCCCCAATCTCTCACCTCACCCCCCCAATCTCTCACCTCACCCCCCAACCTCTCACCTCACCCCCCAACCTCTCACCTCACCCCCCCAATCTCTCACCTCACCCCCCCAATCTCTCACCCCGCAATCTCTCACCTCACCCCGCAATCTCTCACCTCACCCCCCAATCTCTCACCTCACCCCCCAATCTCTCACCTCACCCCCCAATCTCTCACCTCACCCTCGCCATCTCTCACCTCACCCCCACAATCTCTCCCCTCAACCCACAATCTCTCACCTCACCCCCCAATCTCTCACCTCACCCCCCAAACTCTCACCTCACCCCCCAATCTCTCACCTCACCCCCCAATCTCTCACCTCACCCCCCCAATATCTCACCTCACCCCCCAATCTCTCACCTCACCCCCACAATCTCTCCCCTCACCCCACAATCTCTCACCTCACCCCCCAATCTCTCACCTCACCCCCCCAATCTCTCACCTCACCCCCCAATCTCTCACCTCACCCCCCAATCTCTCACCTCACCCCCCAATCTCTCACCTCACCCCCCAATCTCTCACCTCACCCCCCCCAATCTCTCACCTCACCCCCCCCAATCTCTCACCTCACCCCCAATCTCTCACCTCACCCCCCCAATCTCTCATCTCACCCCCCAATCTCTCACCTCACCCCCCAATCTCTCACCTCACCCCCCAATCTCTCACCTCACCCCCCAATCTCTCACCTCACCCCCCAATCTCTCACCTCACCCCCCAATCTCTCACCTCGCCATCTCTCACCTCACCCCCACAATCTCTCACCTCACCCTCGCCATCTCTCACCTCACCCCCCAATCACTCACCTCATCCCCTCAACTCTCACCTCACCCCCGCAATCTCTCACCTCACCCCCCAATTTCTCACCTCACCCCCGCCATCTCTCACCTCACCTCCCAATCTCTCACCTCACCCCCCAATCTCTCACCTCACCCCCCAATCTCTCACCTCACCCCCCAATCTCTCACCTCACCCCCCAATCTCTCACCTCACCCTCGCCATCTCTCACCTCACCCCCACAATCTCTCCCCTCAACCCACAATCTCTCACCTCACCCCCCCAATCTCTCACCTCACCCTCGCCATCTCTCACCTCACCCCCCAATCAGTTACCTCATCCCCTCAACTCTCACCTCACCCCCCAATTCCTCACCTCACCCCCCCATCTCTCACCTCACCCCCCCCATCTCTCACCTCACCCCCACAATCTCTCACCTCACCCCCGCCATCTCTCACCTCACCTCCCAATCTCTCACCTCACCCCCCAATCTCTCACCTCACCCCCCAATCTCTCACCTCACCCCCCAATCTCTCACCTCACCCCCCAATCTCTCACCTCACCCCCCAATCTCTCACCTCACCCCCCAATCTCTCACCTCACCCCCCAATCTCTCACCTCACCCCCCAATCTCTCACCTCGCCATCTCTCACCTCACCCCCACCATCTCTCCCCTCACCCCACAATCTCTCACCTCACCCCCCCAATCTCTCACCTCGCCATCTCTCACCTCGCCATCTCTCACCTCACCCCCCAATCACTCACCTCATCCCCTCAACTCTCACCTCACCCCCACAATCTCTCACCTCACCCCCCAATTTCTCACCTCACCCCTGCCATCTCTCACCTCACCTCCCAATCTCTCACCTCACCCCCCAATCTCTCACCTCACCCCCCAATCTCTCACCTCACCCCCCAATCCCTCACCTCACCCCCCAATCTCTCACCTCACCCCCCAATCTCTCACCTCACCCCCCCAATCTCTCACCTCACCCCCCAATCTCTCACCTCACCCCCCAATCTCTCACCTCATCCCCCAATCTCTCCCCTCCCCCCCCAATCTCACCTCACCCCCCAACCTCTCACCTCACCCCCCAATCTCTCACCTCACCCCCCAATCTCTCACCTCACCCCCAAATCTCTCACCTCACCCCCCCAATCTCTCACCTCACCCCCCAATCTCTCACCTCATCCCCCAATCTCTCACCTCACCCCCCAATCTCACCTCACCCCCCAATCTCTCACCTCACCCCCTCAACTCTCACCTCATCCCCTCACCTCATCCCTTCTCAGTTTGTTGTCGTTGCCCCCACCGCGCACAATCGATTCGCACGCCTCTTCACTCATTTCTTCCCTTTCCGGATTATTTTCCATAATACCCCCGTCCATCCCCTAGCTCATCCCTTCTCTTCGCTCTCCCCTCGTCTCTCCCCTCGTCCCTCCCCCCGTCTCTCCCCCCGTCTCTCCCCCGTCTCTCCCTCGTCTCTCCCCCGTCTCTCCCTCGACTCTCCCCCGTCTCTCCCCTCGTCTTCCCGCGGCCTCCCCAACTCGCCTCAGCCTGCGAGCTCTCGTCAAAGGGGCCCCACTCGGGCGTCGCCGTCCCCGCCATGTCGCTCCTTCTCCGCCCGCCGGTGTGGGGTGAGGGGGGCTCAGCTCCGCGATCTCCTCCCGAGTCCCGACCTCGGCATCAACAACGACAGCGGCGACGACAACAACAGCAACAGCAGCGACAACAGCAGCGGAGGGACAGCGACGCGACGAGACGAACAGCCAACAGCGAGCTCTGTCCCTCCCCGACGCTACGACCGCGGGTGAATGGCCGCGACGCGAGTATTCGGCGGCCACCTTGGTCTGGGAAATACTCAGGCGGATGGAAACGCCCCCCCCTCACCCCTCCCCCCTTCGCCCCTCCTCACTTCCCCCCGCCCTGAATGGTTTCGCTGGGGAGGCGGCGCCGGTAAAGACCGCGAGGCGGAGCCACCCCTCGCCCCCACCGAGACGTCGCCCCCTCCCACCGCCTGCCGTCCCCACCTAAGATGGCGCTGCGGTACAAGCGTAATTTTATATTATTGGTTATTTCGGTAAAGTCACGTAGAAGGGCACCCCAATGGGCTCCCCCCTATCTCCGGTTGTAGCCAACATTTTCATGGAGAAATTTGAAACTGACGCCATCCAGACTGCCACTCTGCGCCCAACCATATGGAAGAGGTACGTGGATGACACTTTTGTCATCTGGCCACATGGCCGACCTGCTCTAGACCAATTCCTCGACCACATCAATTCCATACACCCAGCCATCAGATTCACCATGGAAGTCGACAAAGATGGCAAGCTACCTTTTTTGGATGTCCTAATAAAAAAAGAGACCTGATGGTTCAATGAGCCACTCTGTCTACAGGAAAGCTACCCATACGGATGCTTACCTGAAACCGGATTCCCACCACCATCCATCCCAGAAGAATTCCCTCATCAAGACTCTGCACCATAGAGCCCAATGCATATCCGACCAGGAACACATAGCCAGCGAACTCAAGCACGTACACCAAGCTCTTAAGGATAATGGCTACTCCGACTACACAATCCGCAAAGCTATCACTCCAACCATGAAGAAGGACCCTCTTGAGCCTTTCAAAACCATCACTTTACCCTACATTCGGGGATCACAAAAAAGATCTCCAAAATCTTGAGTAAACACAAGATCCAGGTCCGATTCAACACATTACATAAAATCCGTTATCTGGTTCCGTCTGTAAAAGATGTGATTCCGGACATTACAGTACCCTGGTGTCTACAAACTAAGTTGCCTTTGTGGTAGTAGTTACATTGGAGAAACCAAACGACATGTCTCGGACCGCATTCGTGAACACAAACCAGACCTAAAACACAGTAGGACCAACACCTCGGCCGTGGCAGATCACTGTTATAATTCAGTAGGCTCACATGACACTGACTTCTCCAAGACAGAGGTTCTTTGCAAGCCATCTGGCTACCATGAGAGATTCGTTCATGAGGCTATCCACATATACAAGCACAGAGACAATTTCAACCGAGAAGATGCATTCTGGCTTAGCAAGCATTGGAAGGATTTGATAAACCATTGCAAGTCTTAATTGATTGTTCACGCTTACAGTGGCTTTCAGACCGCATCCTTTATTTTCGTCTCCCCCCTCCTCTTTTCCGAACATAGATGGACTCATCCATCTGAATAACTGCCAAATCGCTCTCCGTGGTGCTAGCGTGAAAAAAACACCACTTTTTTCAAATTTTCTTGCTGTGGTTTTCACACCTGATGATGATTGCTTGTGTTGCAGTCGAAACATCGTGAGAATTTTATTGTTTTATATTTTTATTATTTTATTGTTTCCCTTCTACGTGACTTTACCGAAAGAACCAATAATATGAATCCCTGCAGTCATGAAAGCTTTAAATCAAAATTTAATTGTAATCTTGCTTCTTGATATTAGCCAATCAAATGACGGGGGCGTGTCGCATCATTATCCAATCCGTAAATCTATTGGCAATGCATCGACAGCGATTAACACGCAAAATTATCATTAACCTGGGACAGGGATTCCTCAACTTGCGAACATTCGACTTACGAACTTTCAAGAGATACGAACAAATCTGTCCCTACTCTTTGGTTCTTTCGGTAAAGTCACGTAGGTATAAAATAAAATAAATTATATCACGTTTCGATTGCAACACAAGCAATCATCACCAGGTGGGAAAACCACAGCAAGAAAATAAAAAAAATTCCCACCTGATGATGATTGCTTGTGTTGCAATCGAAACGTCGTGATTTTATTTATTTTATACCTAAGTGACTTTACCGAAAGAACCAAAGAATATGGATCCCTGCTGTCACGAAAACTTAAAATCTAGATTAAACCTGTCCCTATGTCCAGTTGCCTGTTCGGACCGAGAGGCGTAAGTTCAACCGCCGCGCAATAGATGGCGGTGGTGGCGTCTGCAGAACGTGAAGAACCTGTGGCATCGACATCAACAGATTATACAACTCATCTTCTGGGTTCGTTCGGTAAAGTCACGTAGAATGGAGATAAAATAATAAAAATAATAATAACAATAAAATTCTCACGACGTTTCGGCCACAACACAAGTAGCCTTCCTCAGGTGAAGAAACAGGACTGTCCAGAAGACAGCGCTTAAGTGAACCCTGCCAAGCTTGGAAGCGTCTTTTAAGCTGTGTGGGAGGAACAGAGCGCCTTAACATAGGAGTTTACATATAAATTAGCATGTAACTGGGGGATTAGCATGATGTTGGTGTGAGGGATTAGCACCACGGAGAGCGACGAGCTTTGTTCAGACGGACGAGTCCATCTATGTACGGAACGGAGGAGGAGGGAGAGGAGTTTACATATCAACAGAAAATTAGCATGTAACTGGGGGATTAGCATGATGTTAGTATGAGGGATTAACACCACGGAGAGCGACGAGCTTTGTTCAGACGGACGAGTCGATCTATGTTCGGAATGAAGGAGGGGGAGGAAGAGGAGGAAACGGCCACAGTGCGCTGCTCTGTCCTGTGTTGCGTTATAACTATGCTATAAACTAGACTACTATACATTACAATATTATACCTTCCAATCTAAACTACATTGTATAATATCGTATCCATAGACAATCTCCACCCTTGAATTATACAAAGCGTTACTATACACTACCCTATACTTTAGACTATAAAATATTAGACTTGTAGTATTACACTATGTATTATTCTACTAACCCTACTGTATACCACACTGCTGTATATTCACTATACAATTATGGTGCTATATATTGCCTTATGAATTATGTTAAACATTACACTGTTATACTATTTATTATTATACAAAATGCTATAAACTATACTATTGACCGTCGTGTGAAATGTACTAAGAGGCAGTGCCAGCGAATGGACTGCATTCTGAAAGTCACCGTAAAATACGATCAATCAAGAATCGAAATGGTTTATAACGTCTTTCCAATGGTTACAAAGCCGGAATCCATCTTCTCGGTTGAAACTGTCTCTGTATTTGTATATGTGGATAGCCTCATGAACGAATCTCTCATGGTAGCCGGATGGCTTGCAGAGAACCTCCGTCTTGGAGAAGTCAATGTCATGTGAGCCCACTGAATTATAAGTGATCTGCCATGGTTGAGGTGTTTGTCCTTCCGTGTTTCAAGTCTGCTTTATGTTCATGGATGCGGTCCGAGATATGTCGTTTGGTTTCTTCAATGTAGCTGCTACCACAGAGGCAACTTAGTTTGTACACACCCGGGTACTGTATGTCTGAAACCACATCTTTTACAGACAGAACCAGATCACGGATTTTATGTAATGTGTTGAATCGGACCTGGATCTTGTGTTTATTCAGGATTTTGGAGATCTTTTTTGTGACCCCCGCAATGTAGGGTAAGGTGATGGTTTTGAATGGCTCCTCAAGCGGATCCTTCTTCATAGTTGGAGTGATGGCTTTGCGGATTGTGTAGTCGGAGTAACCATTACCCTTGAGAGCTTGGTGTACATGCTCTCCGTGGTGCTCATCCCTCACACCAACATCATGCTAATCCCCCAGTTACTTGATAATTTATATGTAAACTCCTTTGTCAAGGCGCTCTGTTCCTCCCACACAGCTTAAAAGACGCTTCCAAGCTTGGCAGGGTTCACTCAAGCACTGTCTTCCGGACAGTCCTGTTTCTTCACCTGAGGAAGGCTACTTGTGTTGTGGCTGAAACGTCGTGATAATTTTTTTATTATTTTTATTATTTTATCTCCATTCTACGTGACTTTACTGAAAGAATCCAGAAGATGAATCCCTGCAGTCACGAAAGCTTTGAATCGAAAGATTATACAACTATTAAAGCCATTCCCCGTGTTTAGTGTGCACACCGTACAACATATTTGGAATTGACAGGAGTAAAGTTTGACTTACGAATAAATCGACTTACAAACAGACCTCTGGAACCTAGCTCGTTCGTAAGAAGAAGAGTCCCTGTACAGTATCTTTTATATTTGTTTTTAATATGGATCAACTGAGCAGGTTTAGATACAATTAATCTCAATTAACGATCCAAAATACTATATATGGGTAAATCCACGCCCACTTTCTTCCATATATGAGGGCGCATCTCTAATCAGTGATTTCGCCAGGCATACGATTTCATCGCTCTGACAGTGCCGGATGTTCGCGTGCGTCACCAATCGCCCCTGCACGGGCGCGCCTCGCTTAACGACCGAGATGCGTTCCGCGAAAACTACCTCGGCAAAAAGCGAACGATCGTCGCTCCCCCCCCATTGACTCCTCCCCACGTTAAAAACTGAGGTATGTTTTAGCCTCGAAAATGTTCTACTCGTGAACGAATTTTTAACACGAGAAATACACATTACTGTACAATTTTAAAATAAAGGAATAAAACATAAAATGTAACACTTACCACACACAATGAAAGATCCTCCGTATAGCCTATCACCTCCTCTGATTAACACGTAGGCTTTTGCGACGAATATCATCCATAATATAGGGGTTTTTTTGGCTGAGAAGGCATTAAAAAAAATAACTGTGTCGTTAAACCCGCCACCACCCGAGACAGCCAATTAGTAAGGTTTATCATGTAAACAGAACGTGCCAATTCGTTACCAGTACAACACACCGGTGTGTTGGAGAGCAAATCCACAAACAGCACCGGTGTGCTGTACTAGCCCGGCCGTCTATGTCTCACTAGTGGCAATGTTTACACTCCACAACAGCTACTTATTTCAGTCTGTGTTTGTCCTAGGGGAGTCCAAGAATTGGCTGTGAGCGGGAATCGAACTCGGGTCGCCGGTTTCGTATCGTCGTGAG